AATGTGTCTGGAAGGTTTTGCCTTTTATCTTTCTTTTTCTTAATTTCCTTTGGTTGAATTGTGCAGCCAACCAGAATCGACTGCTTTTGGATATGTGAGGGTCCGGTGAACATTTAAAAAATACTATTTTTAAGTTGTTTACTGTAATGGAAATGGTGACTCTTGTGCACCACTTGTTTTTAGTGTTGCTTGACATACAATACGCCCTCTGGACTCCTGACTCCTTCTGCAGCCTTTCTACTTCTACTCCCTGGCTCCTCCTTACAGCTGTCTTTCAGCCACACCCCTGATCTTATCATAGGTAACATCTACACCTAGCCTTCTCGGACTAGGGCGAAAAGTCTAGGAGGTCCCATGTGCAAGTTGCGCACATTAAAGATCCCTTGATGGTCCAAAACCGATAAGAGTAGGCTTCAGCCGCCACCTGGGCAAAATTCAAAATATTCCTACTAACTGAAATTGTTTGGTGTGTCCTGCGCGCTCATATGACCTTATGCAGTTGTGAGTGCTGTAAAACACGTACCAAAATACAATACGGAACCAAAACTGAGAGAACGCAGATTTTGCACAAATGTGATCAGTTTCTGCAGAAGCAGCTGATTTCTGGAGATCACCCTTCAGGAATTTACTTCACTAGTAAAAAGTGAAAATCATCAATCTTATTTAGAAAATCTACTTTTCCATCACTCTTTTATTCATAATGCAATCATGTTTGCTAACCTTCTTTTGACAAGAACCAACTCTTTTCTAGTTAGTTGCATACCGCTTGACTGTTTTATGGTGACGGTCTTGTCTACAATTGTGAACTTCTAATTTAAACTCTAAGTAACATAAGAAACTAGGCTTGGAGAGTCATTTCCTTAAGGGGGGGGGGGGGCCCACCTGGAGGCTATCTCGCTTATTACTTGACCGAATTTTACCAAATTTCACACATATAACAAACATAGTAAGGAGTCTTAAAATCCGCAATCAAATTTGAGAAAAATGTTTCGTTTCCATGGATACGCCGCCATATTGGATTTTATCGACATGTCTTACGTAATGAATTCCGCACTTATCGCTCATGGAAAGATTTTTTTTTGCATGCATGTTCACAAACATTAGATCTAAAAATTTTTGTTTTAAATTTTTCTTATACGAATTAGAAAATTTTTTATGAATTTTTTCCTGAGATAACATTCAAGTTTGCGAAAAATCCGGGAAAATCCATATATATATACATATATTTCAAAAATTCATCAAAGGAATATTTTCTTCATTCTGTAAAACTTTCATGGAGATTGGATGAAATCTGTTTGAGTTATGTTACAAAACAAATATACAGAAAAGCCGCGTTAAGAGGAAACGGGTGATGAAGAAAAATAAGAGATTGACTTTATGAGGAAATTGTAGTGACATATATGCCCGGCATGGGAAGAAATAAGGCTTTAGAGCTTCTTATGCGATGAAATAGTTGTATTAGAGGCTGAAGAAGCTAAAAATGCCTACAAACTTAAAATCCATAGTTTTGACCCCCCCCCCCCCCCGTCCAAATGATGAATGTTCTCAGCCATAAAGCAATTATACATTTAGTTATAAAGACAGCCGTAAAAACAAGACCGATACAGCAACACCTTGTAACACACTCCGATTCAGACTTAATAGATAAATAAGTACACGTACGTTGTTAGTTTTGTGGCGCCTGTAAAATGGTATGTGTCACTGCATGCTTCCCAGAAAGTTTATAATGCTTTAGAGGGCATAGAAAGCAATCAGGACAGCTGGGATAATAAGACTGTAAAGCGCATAGAGTTTATAATAATTTTGGTATATATAATAATATTACTATTATTATTTCTATTATTATTATCATTATTAT